CATGCTATACGTACAACCAAAAAAAGATTCTGTGTTTCCATAAGTGGGGTAAAACTATGGAATAATTTAAGTGTAGACATAAAAAACAGTAAGAGAATTGGCGAGTTTAAACATAAATATAAAGGTATGTGTCAATCAAGATATGGGCAAGAACAGGCTTAATGATTAACCAGATGGAACATTGTGGGTGTGGTGTTTTTAGTATATCACTACCGTGGTGTAGAACTAAATTATCTATGTAGTAATACTGCTTGGAAACCAATAATGATAAGATGATGTCATGGGGTAGGACTAGATAAGTCTGACTTCTTCCTACTCCGTTCAAGCATGTACTAGGTATAAGTAAATTGATAATATATTTGTGGATATGTGTGGAATTGAAAGAATAAATCAAATCAAATCAAATCAACACTAAGGCTTTTTACCAGCCTTGGCTTTGCAGACCTAACAGCCCCAGCATCTTACAAACATAAAGTTACTAGTACACAAAGAATAGCAACAGACGTGGCAAACATAAGGACATCTTGGGCAGATGGATTTAGGCTGTGTGTAGCAAGTCTGAAGCAAGAAAGAGGAACAGAAAAAAAAACCTGGAATACAAAGTAAAAATAAAAGCTTAGAATGAGGAATGTCGTTGCACTCCAAGTTAAACACGTAATAAATCACTGAAAAATGTAGTCCAGCTGGCTGATGCAGTGCAGAGTTATGGATAAAATCTCGCCTTGGTAACTCCCCCTACTTGATTACATCATAACTAAAACATTGTCAACCAGTTGCATCATGGGGTGGCTATTAGACGTTTTCTGATAGCAACTGGTGGTGCAAAGGTTTCGAGGTTGGTAGCGATACCACAACATCTATTTCTGATACTTTATTTTAGGAAATACTAACAGGTGTCTACAAAACACTTAATCCAAAACAGAAATTAGCCTAAATAATATACTCCTTGCAAAATTAGCAACATTTTGGTTTAACTTGGCAGCTACACTGTCGTATTTTATCCATTTTACATTATCCTTAACGTCCCATACTCGTTGTATTATCGATCCTTGATTATGTTCTTCATATTGTAGCTATTTTGTCTGTGTTACACTGTATGTTTGTATGTTTTGGCCCTCCTGTAAAAGAGGTTTCTAAACTTAATGAGGTCTTTTTTTCTGGTTTATAGATGATTTTCCCTGGTTTTCCTTTTTTAAACAAGCGCAAAACCAACAACTGATCTAATTAACAAATATGAAGTACAGTCCTCTAGACCTCTACTGTTGCCTAGAAACCATTCATATCCATGGGCCACACTGCTGCAGAGCATGTCACTTTCCTCATTTCAGATCACAGCCACTGCAGTTTATTTTCACACCCCAACTTGTAATGAATACTTCCTAGTGCACCAAATCCACAGTTGAAGAATCCCAAACAAATGCACTATTTATCCTTGTTTCAATAATGTTTGTAAAAAAAAAAAAAAAAAAAATGAATTTGAATGAAGTCATATAATTATTACCTTTGACAGTTACTGTGGCACTGTAATTCCCCTGGTAGGTGCTGTCCGTGCTGGGTGTGTAGCACTCATACTTGCCCTGGTCATCAGGCCGGAGCCTCTGTATCAGCAACCGGACCTTGTCCCCAGAGTCTCTCTCCACCCTGACCTCCCCATTCCTTACCCGAGCCAGGTACGGGGCGTAGGGGAAGGACTTGTCTCTAGTGGACACCACTCCCATCTGCCTCCCACCAGCATCATCCCTGTACAGGAACCACTCAAAGTCCTGCGTACGTGGGCCTTCATACCCTGATACAGCACATGGCAGGGACAGGGGGAAGCCTCCAACACGGTAGAGGTCTCCAGGGGGAAGAGTTACATCACGACACAAAGCATACTGAAGAACTGTAAAAAAAAAAATATAGAGAGACAGTAAGAGCATGAAAGACTATGGCCAGCAAGCAGGAAGGATTGTGAGATGGTAAATGTCAGTTTCTGCGCGTCACATGGTCTTGCCTTGCAGCATGTTTGGTACAGGGGCTCACAGATCAATATCCTGAGCTGATGACTGGCCAAGAAGGAATCGATATGTTAAACAGCTGTGGAGAAAAACCCACTACGGCTGTGCGCGTTTCCTGAGTACAAGGGCACATTTAATAAATGAAACATCTCACTGAGCTTCCTAGCTAATGCGCTAATGATTTTTGTCAGTGCCAAGCTTTAAAAGGACCAGTTCACCAAATAATAAAATTAAACTATTTTGTAGTCTTATAAGAACTGCTACAGTTAGAGTAACATTTGTGATAGTGGCTACATTTCACAGCATGGCTGCAAACAAGGACTTTTTTCATTATGGATTAATCTGTTGATTACTTTCTAAATTAATTGTTTTGGTCTATAAAATGTCATAAATTGAAAAACAAAAAAAAGGCATTTATAATTTCCTAGAGATTGAGGTGACGCCTTCACGTTGTTTGTAATGTTAAACTGTCCACAACTGAAGCATAAAGACAAATAGACATGTAGACCATCACATAAGACAGAGAGAAGCAGGACAATGTCCATTCATTGACTCATTGTACATATGTATACACTTCTGTGCAACTCAACAGTGACATCGCTTTCCCTTCTGCAAATGAAGGCAGGTAAACAGCTTGCATCTCCATTAAACTGTTGGCAGTGAGGTAGGTGTATTAGTGTGTGAACAGCTGTGTTATTTTATTTAGAAAAGGTGCCGAGTGTACTGGGCTAAATGTGATCTTTATCTCCAAACAGCAAACCCCACTGAAACAGAGTGAGAAGACTTTACTCAAGTCTCAAAAGGGAAAAATAAAATGTAGTCAGATAGGAAATCTCCTACTTTTCCTCCTTCAATAATATTAAACATAATAAACTGTAAGAAAGGTTGTGTTAAGGAATAGTAGGCATCTTTAGTCTGAATACAAACTGATTTTAATCTGTATGTGAGGCCAAAACCTGAGGAAGAAATTCATCATCTCCATATAAAAAGGAGATGTGATCATCTCAGCATAATCAACAAACAAACACCCAAAAACTGACACTCGACAAAGGATTGGCCCCGACTTATCTCACCTACAACTGCCTGAACAACTAGAAATACTAGACAGGTGTGTTCTGGCAGGCCCACCTGTGAGTGTGTGTGTCAGAACAAATAACAACTGGAGCGATCTCACAGGCTGAGCCACACCCTGACAACAGCACGCCCATAGAAAATAACATGGGAGACGGAGGATTAAGTGGATCAAGTCTTAATTAACATGGGGCTTGGGCTGATGGGGCTGGCTTGTCACAATGCTCAATGCTGTCTGGATTAAATACTGTGGAACAACGGTGGCTTATGAGGAGCCACAAACAGATGCATGTTGGACCAATATACCATTTTGTCCCAACTAACCATCTCTGAAACAGATTGAAACAAGAGCAGTCAGAGCACATGTTCCTCCGCCAAGGCCCAACACTTGCTCACTCAAGTGGATCCCTTGTGAAAAATGAGATCCAGAACAGCACAAAAGTTGCCCTAAAACCCTTAATCCAAATCGGATCCAGATCGTCTTTTAAGGTATGATAGGCAGTTATATTGTGCATCTTACCTGAACATTTCAGGGTTCTATCTTCATTATAGGCCAAGTTTTGGCAGAAAATATGTGTTAAATGGGGTTTTCAATGTTACCTTTCAATGGGCGTCAGAACCAGAATCCAGATAAGACATATGTGTGTTAAATTTCAAATTATTTAGATGACTTTTGATGTAGATAAGAATTTTTATTATTATTGCTTTTGTGACCTTGACCCCCTTAATTTTTTAACATTCAAGATGAAATGACATTAAAGTATTACAACAGTAGCTGATAGAAATTGATAAAGCAAGTGGTGAAACATAAAGATGAGCACACTATTTACATAGACAAAACTATTGGCTGGTATCCCTACAGAGGAGAACTATGTTTATATATGTAAATACCATTACAGTGTCCTACTGAAGTGAAACCCTTTGCTTGAAACCCCCCGATGCCTCAGGGGGACTCGCTTTAAAAGCATCCATCAAAAATCCTGTTAGTGATTTAGTTAGTTTGACAGCAAAGCTAAGATTCGTTTCTACTGTACGTTTAGACTGTACGTAGGCCTAATAAGATGCAAGCCACAGGGATAAGAGAAATACTGATGGCTGTCTCCTAAGGTAAACTGACAGAAACATGGCAGACAAAATCATGAAAAATAATAAGGTACATGCTGCAAAGGAAATCTAAATGATTCATCTGAGTGTATTTGCATGTGGCAGATGGCGTTTTGTAGTTACTGTCTGCGCAGAGCAAAGGTACAATACTGCTCTCACCCCATTGTAGAAATACGAATAATGCTGTTTTCATGGGAGCCATCACGGTCTTCCCCCCCGGTGTCCAGATGGATTATGTTGAGTCAGATTTCTCTCTCCGTGTGCCTCTGGTCGCGGACACCGACTTTCTTCAAAGAAAACGACAGACACGGTTTGAATTAGAGAGGAAGAAACAAATGATGATGTGTAAACAAGTAGCCGTGCACTGTGTACACAGAAAGCAGAGTTAGCGCCACCAGTTAGCCAGGGCGAGTGAGCATTAGTAGAAATGTGCAAAGCTGCAGATGCAATCACCTTTTTCCAGTCGCATCTCCGTCAACGCATCGACTGCTCCATAATATCCCGGTTTGGTTTGAGATTATACCGCCCTGACAGACATGCTCTCATGACTAGACATGGAGCTGTTGCTGTCACAGGATAGTGCGTGTGCGTGTGCGTGTGTGTAAGTGGGTGGTTGTCCCCGCGCGCGTGAAAAAGAAGAAGAAGAAGAAGAAGAAGAGGAGGAGGAGGAGTGATTTGTAACCAAAGGAGGAGGAGCACGCATATAAATAGGGCTCTAGGGGAATATACATGCCAAACAGGTGCCATAGGTCGAGAAAGCCTCGACGTTTCAAAACACTGATGATAATAATGTTGGACAGGAGGCCATGCGATGCGCAACAGCGAGGAGGCGCCAGAGCAAAACACGTTTAAGATCTGCACAGGTGTGTAAATGACTTATGTCGTGTGTTGTTTTAACTGGGGTAGAAGACCTGGTACCAATACAACTATCTAAAAAATACTCCATTGTGAGTAGAGGTCCTGCTTTCAAAACCTCAGTTAAGTAAAAGTAAAGAAGGAAAATCAGAAAAAGTAAAGCAACACTTGTTTGTTTTGTTTTGGAAGAAATGTTAATGTAGCATTAATTATTATTTAAACATTATATTTTTTGTTTTTATTACGTAAAATGTAATAGCATTAATTATTATTTAAACATTATATTTTTTGTTTTTATTACGTAAAATGTAATAAATATTTATATTTTAATTTATTTCTGTGTTCCTCATTTTCTTTAAAGGGGGTAGTTGAGAATTCATGTTATAATAAATTAAATGTATAACACAACATATACAAAGTCAAATTATTATCATTGTAGTTGACATTTTAGTTGGAATGTAATAATGGTAATAATAACATCATAAGTAGTTAAGTATCATTTTCTTGAACAAAACAAATGTACTTCCTATTTAATTTCACTCAGTCATTCTCATTCATTTACCATTGTCATCATCAACATGTTTTTGTAAATAAATTCATATTACATTCTCTAGCCTGACCCAGGCGACTGGTACAAGCTATAGGCAGGAAGCCTTTTCTCTGTGTGGACTATACTTACTGCTTAGTTTTTCACCCCCTGTGATTTTTAGCTGTAAACATGCATTGCTCATAACCTACCATGTATAAATATATAAAATAAAACTTGTTGACTCTTGCTTAATAAAGGTTAGTTCACTGATAAAATATGAGTTGTCAGTAATACCTTCTTACGACCCTCTGTTTTCGGTCCTTAGCTGGAAGGTCCAGGTGTCAGCAGCTCCTGCATCACCAGATTCAGAATCTTGTTTACAGTTCACTATGTTCCTTATGATACAGATTATAGGCTACACTTTGTTATACTTCTGCTTCTGGATATCTATACAAGTAGCTACACTGCTGACATGTGATACAACCATGTGACATCAGTGTAGGGTGTTATTATTAGCATGCCCATGGAAAGTATATTTTTAACACTTTTTATTAAACACTTAGACTTTGTTCTGTGTCTGTGCATATATAATCACACATGTACAGTGTATGTACATGTATATGTGTGTGTGCGTTTATACTGACATAATAGGCAGTTTTCAAATAATTAATTCTGACATGTGATAGCAGGGAAAGCACAGGTGTAAATAAAATGAATGATGGTTGAACTGCATTTAGCCGCTTTGGGTTCAGAGTCCTGGGACACTTGAATATAACCAAGGTATACCTAATTAGTAGCACCTACATTTCCTACTATGACAAGTCAAAATATATGGTCTGTTGCTCACAGTTATTCATGTGCATGTGCTATGAACAAACAAGCATGTAATATTTTTATGTGTGGGCTTATGGTATTTTTTTGTGCACATGTCATGCATATGTGCATTTTTTTGCATTTTTTTCTATTGTGTTTTGGTGTACATATTACTGTATGTGTGCCTTTGTATGTGTGCTTGCCACCTTTCTCGTCTTTGTATTTTGTATGTACGCGGAGGACAGTTCTATTCAACCACAAGAGGGCGACATTTAATAGCCATACATAGAACATCTACATCATTTTCATGGCCTGCATAGATACTACTATACTACACAGAAAACTTCTGAATGACCCAGTAATTTTATTTGCCTAAATAACTGATTTGTTGTTTGTTAGGCAGATAACTTAAAATACTGATACACAACTGTTTGTGAATCATGTCCTCAATAGGTACTGCAATTCTTGTATAGTGATAGCCAGCTTCCACTATTTTTTGTTTTTAGTTCCTAAAACCCTAGTCATCCATTTGTGAGGTTTTTTTTGCAACACCAGTTTTCACAAGCTGACAGTGATGTGAAACAGCAATAAAACCCAGCTAGCATTTCTGTGGCCTGCAAAAATCAGTGCTGCTACATTCCCGCCTTCTCTGTCTCCTTTTTGTATTTCCCTCAAAGCAAAAGCAATAAATGAGTCAAATCAGTTATTTCATCATTCTACAACTGAAATGGAGTCAGAAGGAATATTAAAGCCCAGAGAAGAAAAATCTAGAAACACTAGAGCTGAGAGAGGCAGGCCATGGTCCTATATGTGGTTATGGGTATAGTGTATGTGTGACACTGAGCAGAGCCCCTTAGATGGTTCAGTCTCTAAGGAGGATTTATGCCATCAAAGCACACCTCATTAGTGATACCAGTTGTCCTTCAACCTGTCTAGTTTCCTTTCCTTTCCATTCCTTTCCGTTCCTTTCCTTTCCTCATCACTCCACTCCTCTCATCACTTTAAGCTACAGTACATGGAAACATAGATGACTTCACAGCGTGGCTCGGCAGCAAGAGAAGGGAAGTCATTAGGGTATTCTGGGTTAACAAGGCGGCAAGAAGGATATGCAGACTTCAGCAGTTTCAGCAGGAGCCTACACCAGTGCTGAGGGATGGCACTCATGCAGAGTAAACTTCCTCAGTCTTATGGCTTCCAATGTATCACAGTTTTTAACCAAGTTGACAGTTAGAGCATGATGTATTCTGATCCACTTCCAGGGAAATAAATCTCTAAAAGCTGCATTGATCCGCCACACTGTTTGTTGCGCAGACGTCTATGTATTACATATGACAGGCGATCCTAAAATCTCAAACTGTTTCCCACTAAACTCATTTATATTCAGCTTTAACAACTTCCGGTACTTTTCAAATGTCAAGTTTTATGCTTCTAGACAGTGGTGGAATCTATTTAGTTGAATACTGTGCTTACTCTAAGCACAAGTTCTTGTACTTAACATTTAATTGCACTTTATTCTGGGCATATGTTATACTTTCATTCACTATATTTATTTCTATTTATCTAGCAGCTATAGCTATTAATTACTTTAAACGTTCATATTATTCTTATAATGGACACTTAAATTAACTTTTAAATTACGATGTAGTGTTATACCATACATTTTGTTAAGCTTTAGTAGACACGATAAAATGAGCTTCACCCCGTGCAGCTACAGCACAAAAATTCTGAATGATCAACTAATCTTTTTTCATGTTATTTACAGTTATTTCAATCATTGTTAACATAATCATATTGATTCGAGCAAATAAAATTCGGAATGCACAACATTGTATATAATGGTTTTTTTACATTGTAGTACTGGTTTTGTTTGTTTGATTGTTTACTTAAAGCTGCATAATTGATTTATGGCCACTTGAGGGCAGTATAACCAGCTGAAACCAAAATGTCTAACTTATTAACAGCTTATAAAGTTATTATGCCAAACAATTACCCATTCCCACATCCAGCAGCTATAGAGAGCAACATTAGTATTCATTACTAGTCGTTACATATGTAAGTCCAATGTTTTCTGTTCTTTTAATTGTTTTTCTCTAACTTCCGCTGGCTTCAGCTTTCAAGTTGTTTGGCTTTCTTCATTAGCTAGTAGTTCAGTCCTTTTATCAAAGCTGGTACTGCTGAGGAAAGGTTGAAAGGAGCACAGGTGGAGTACCTGAAAACCAAAACAATGTGCTAAAGACTGAGCTCAGGAGAATTGTAGAATCTAGTGACAATTCTTCACTTGGAATGATACCTTTCACATTATACACAATAATATGACCTGTTGTTAATGTGAGAAATAGATAAAGTAGTCCATCTTTAATCCAGGATCTGGATGCTTCCTCCAGCACAAAACATAATTCCGCTCCAGGATGTAGTGTATTTATTGCATTTTCTTTCCAGTTTCCATATTCCTTCTCCTTCTAACCTTCTTCTTTGTGCATTCACTCCCACTCTGTCTCTTTTAAGGCCACTATAGACTAAACTGTGACCTGCTGGAGACTGTGTCTAATTACTTTGTACTGCAGTCACTAGAGTTAGGCAAACACCCTGTCATCGCAAGGACCTCACCAGGACTGTCAAGAGGATCCTTTCACTGTGTGTGGCATCAGTTCATACAGTAAGTATAACTGTATGTAGACTGGCACCTTATTCTGTTCATCTTGCTCTGACATTTTTATTGGCACAGACAGTCAAAATTTCTGTCTCTTGGTGTTTGTTTCTTTCACCACATCTTCATCCTGCTACCATTTCTCATGTCAACCATGGTTTTTGAGCATGACTTGGTCTTAATGCTTCCTTGGTTTATTTCGCTTACATACAGGTACAGAACATACACAAACACTCCTCCTGTGGACTATAGATCATCCTTCCATATGACAAGCACATGTACTATATAAGGGCTCCATTTGTTCCCCAGTTCTGTCAGCAGTTTTATCACCATGTCTCACTGTTACAGACGACAGACACCCAGCCAGCAGTGGGGGTGGAAGGACCACTGCTAGACAAAACAAAGGGAAGAAGAAGGGACGTACATGTACAGCTAATTTACTGCTGACAGTATTTTAATAACTTTCTCTCAGAGGGCCTTTGGTTTTGCAGGTTTCCTCTCTTTATTACAGTATGCAACAACAATGTTTAGCTAAGCTTTTGACCGCAGTGCATGACTTCTCTTGGTCACTGTCTTGGACTGGAAATGGTGTAAGGCTGATCAGTCAGTTTTTCTTGGAACAGAGGACTTGTTAGTTTTTTGGACATCTCTAAAAAGAGATTGTTTTAAAAGAGTGTTTAGAGCCTACATACGACATATATGTTGGGCTCCATGAAGGTAAAACCAGATGTCATGAATTATGTTTTAACAGTTTTATGTTCACTTTATGATGAACATATAAACCAAAAACAGGACAGAGG